TGTCTCATCACTCCTGTTTCTTACTTGTTTAATTGAGAGTTTCTTATACTTGGGAGGCTGGCACCTCCCTCGTTGAAGATGGGGCAGTGTCCCATAGCAACTGCAGTGATTGTTGACCTGGAAAAATAACACGGGGGAAATCTAGTAAAATGCTTTTACTAAAGCCAAGCAGTGGGGATGGAGAAGAGGTAGGAGCAGAGCCTTGTGCTTTAGAATGCCCGTGTCTCTAGCAGCTGTTCCGAAGGCTGTGTGGCAGGGACAATGTAAGTGAGCACTGGTTTAATTTCTCTAATCTGAAGAAATGGAATTGGTTCCCGTAGCAGAGATACCAGTAGTCACTGGTGAGCTCATAATCCTTTTGTGCCAGGAACCATTGAGACCAACTCAGCAAAGTCTCTTTGCTGGACTCTTGGAAGGGGCTTTATTCAGTTGCAGAGACTCTCTGGAGTACCAGGGCTCAAGTGAATGAGCCTGTGTCACAACCTTGTATATAGCAGCACAGGCAGTATTTGCCTCTACTGGGGAAGCCACCCGGCTGGAGGTAAATTCTCTCCCTCCCAGAAGGAGACTGGGAACATGCCCTCCAGCCTGTGTATATTCTTGATTCAGACTGGGAATGAGGGGTTGCCTGTGGTCAGCTGTATCTTTGTCTTATCTGCTCCTCAGGCAAACACTGTCCACTGCACCAAACCACACTGTTGATGTTTATGGTTTTAGGACAATACAGACATTCAGTGAAGTCTGTTGGGAGAGTTTTATTCTGCCATGTGAGATTCCCTTCTCTTTTCAAAGTTCCCAGATGATTCTTAACGCAGTTACTTTTTATCCTGTGATAGCAGGTTGTTTTCTGTAAGCAAAGCCAAGAGGGGCTTCACTTTACCAGGGTGGGTGGGGGGTTTGTTGTCTGGTGTGTTTTGGGACTTTAGACTTCAAGGGTGATGGGACCCTTTAGGACCTGGGCAATTCTGGCTGCAGCTAGTTATCATTACTCAGTTGATAAACAGCAGTGGGGTGAGAAAGGGATGTTTCTCTGTCTCTAGCTTTTTCTTGTATCTGCTAATTTCTTTCATGTCAAGCTTGACACTTGGTTCCTTAAACACCGTCTGGTTATTCTATACAAGCCCATCTTTCCTTGCTGGAGACTACAAAATCAAATCTGTGGGGAAGTCTGTCCATGTTTCCATTTGTCACAGTAGTCCTTAGCCTGGCAGAAGTCATGTCTGATGCTGGAGCTGAAGAACCCATTGAGAATCTCATCAGCAGGAGGCTGCTGTCTTTGCCCTTCGGATCTGATGTGTTTCCTGAAGAAAGCTTAGAGGGTGGATGGGCATCTATCCGTTTCTGGCTTGTTTTTCTTGCCATGGCTCATAAACATTCACAGATCTCTGTGAACTGGAGACTTTCTTCTTTTCAATATTGTGTGTTAAGGTACAGAGTGTCCTTGGCACGGTCCTGGGCAACCTGTTCTAGTTGATCAGGGCTAGGATGAGATGATAACAAGAGGTGTCTTTTTAATATAAACAGCTCTAAGACTTTTATGCTGTGACTGAAACCATGACCTGGTAGGAGGAGATCGAGTTTTCTACCGTAGCAGCACCACAATTCTGAGTTTGTGAGGAAAACAAGGCTGTGCTTCCTTGGATGAAAGTAAAGCTGTAGCTAGTATAAGACAAGGACTTATACAGGGAGGCTGGAGACCTGAGCACAATACTGCTGTGTTTAGTAGGATGCTTTTGAAAAGAGAAAAGTGTGAAAGCCTTGGAAGAGTCGAGAGAGAGCATTAATTTCCAACTAGTTGGAGCGTTAGTCTTTGAGTCCTTATATCTTCATCTTTTCTAGGAATTCTTGTTATCCATACAGAGAGCAAATCTTTCTCTTTTTTTTAGCTTCCATTAGTCTTCATCTGTGTGGTGTATTATGGCAAGGAGTTTCCTGTGTAAAATAGCAACTCTGCAACATTCATGAGCAATGAGTTAGTCTGCAATGAGTGATGGTTCTCTGTTAGGGAACATGGGAGTGAGGGTCTTACACACAGGAGCTTGGGAGACTTCAGTTCCCACAGCTAGTATGTAATTTGTGGGAGGATTTACTAATAGAAAGACAATGTAACAATACTAAAACAGAAGAACTTGTTAAATGGTAAATGGGAAGAAAATGATGATGTTCCTGATTGGAAGATGCGAAGATGAAGCAGGAGGGTATTTGCATGTAACGCACACAAAATAAGAGATGTGAAGCAGTCTGAAAGCCAGTACAGGCTGTGGGACATAAGAGGCAATGTGACTTCTGAGACTTAGCATCTGTCATGCACAAAATGCCCAATTTCTGGATTTTAATGCTTTTTATGGTTAGCCTGTGATGTACATCATGAAAATATTCTAATTTTTGAGGGTATTGTCTAGAACAAGGGTATGGTCTAGAACAAGGGTATGATGGCACCAGTGGGAATAATGGGAGAACCCAAGTCTGACTGTGTAGAGAATGGGCTACTGGTATGTTCTTCCAAAAGGTGGGCGTCAGGAAGGGTGACTCCATAGGTGTCTCTGATTGTCTTCATTCTGAAAAGCACTTGATATGTTACTTGTAAAAACTGTACTTGGTTAAAGAGCTGGAGCTTACATTTCTGTGACTAGTGTCAGGATGCAAGACTGGAGGATCCCCTTTTCTCCATGCAGCCTTTCATATTGTCCCACCACTTACATTTCTTTGGCATCTACTATGAGACCAAATCCACAGACCCAGTATCTTCTTGTTTGAAAGAGATTTCTCTCACAGATGCTCTGACCAAAGCCTCCAGAGAAGTGATCGAGGTAACTCACAGGGGATTAGTGTTAGGCTGCCTGTGGGATTGTTGAAGACTTACCAGAGGGGAGTTACCCCTATGAGACCAGGGGCCAGCAAGATTGGACTTCTACAGGGAAGAGTGAGTATTTTGGAAGCCCAGGACCAATAGACACAAAGACCTTCAAAGTGTCAATCATTGACTCAAATCCAACTCCTATGTTAAGCATCTCAAGCCAGCAATGTTGTGCAGTAGCTTTCTGACCTGCATGTGCTAGATGTCATTGCCTCTGTTTTGAAGCAGGGCCATGCCATGTATTGACATTTACATGGTACAAAAAAATGGCTGGTAGGTTTCCCAGGCAGAGCTGTTAAACTTCACTGAAAGCCCTGCCACATCCAAATGAAAGGGTTTTATGTGGGAATGAGCCACAGACTAAGGTCAGTACCTCTCGGGTTAGAATTGGAGCCTTGGCTTTTGTAAGGAAGACAGGACCCTGCTGTCTGTCGGTACAGCAGCTAGCACAATGGCACCTCAGTGTCAGCTGTCCCCTCTGTGAACTGCTGTGGCACAAACAAGGTATTATACCTGTTCTGGGGACAAGCAGAGGTCTGTTAACTTGGCAGTGTTCCTCAGTGCCAGCTGCCTTTCTTAAATGACACGTGTGTGTGAATGCATACAAGAAAACTGTGGCTGCAGTGGGAAAAACAACGCCCTGCGTTTACTTCAGGAGTATCAGCAATGGGGGTAAAGCTGTGCCACTTTCACCATTCATCATTTAACACTTGGGAAAGTAGTTTAAAGACTAGCTAGGAAGGAAAATAGTTCTGATTCCTGAAAGGGCAATGTAAATAGAGAAGGGCAAAAGGTAGCTTTAAAAAAGGAGGAGAAAAAAGGTGGCAACAAGCTTGGGGGGGGGGGGAACAGAATCTGCAAACACAGTCATTGATGATGATCCCAAAATAGGTGTGTTGACTTGCTAGCTGTGTCGGTCAGAATTTCTCCACTGTTCCTATTTCTCTGCACCAGCTGTATGTGTAGGCACCTAGTGAAGTGTTGTTGCTCTTCTGGGTCTCTGAGAGGATGAAACACTCCGAGGATGCTTCCCTAGAACAGTGGTGGAGGCGAAACAGGTCCCCATCAGTGTGATGGCTGCATGCTGCCTTATCTATAAAAGCCAAGCACAGCAGATCAGGCCTTTTTAAAAAGGAAACAGCATGTAACCTTTTGAAACCTGTTGTCACTGAGTTCTGTTGTGGGCAAGTAGCTTGTGAGACTCGGCTAAGAACAATGGGAATGCTTGTTATTCTGAATAAAAAGCTGTAAGGAATGATGAAACTGCTCTTGTAGGGGTCATGTTATTCCAGAACTGCCTCTATAAAGGTTTCTTTTGAAGTATTGCATTTTCCTTTGACTTATTTGCTTTTGGCTGCTGCCAGAGACACATGCTAAGGTAGAGTTTCCTCTACACAGGAAACTGCAGCAATGGGATCTATCTGACCTACAAAAGCTTTGGTTTCAGAGGCAACTACCAAGTTTGTTCAGTGTTAGAACATGTTTTAATTGGGTATTTGGGTATAGAGTAAGTGGCTGGGAGAAGTCCATTGGCTGACCCAGAGCAAATGTTCCTGAAAATTCCTGATGGAATATGTGAATTATCGTTACTCTTAGCGCATTTACAGGTGTTCAGTGGGACTGTAAGATTCTGTGCTGGCAGGGACAGCATAGTGTGTGCTGTCGGGGGGAAGTGTGGGTACATACATAGGATGGCTGAAGTTAACATACCACTTCCATTTGTGGGTACCTTGCAAGATGATAGTGCTGTTGGCAGGATGTGTCTTTATTTCGGCGGTGGGTTTTGGAGATTCAGTTGTCCACGTGATGTGGATGTGGTAGGCCGTGATGGTTACCAGCTGCATGCCTGGCAAGCTCAAGGCAGGGCATGTTCGTTGTGCTTGGGAAAGAGCTGGTGGTGCAGTAAGGTGGAAATAGTAGCGGGCTGTGTGTTTTGTGTTGCTGCAAGTAAGAGGATATGATGGGAGTTTGAGGCTGGAGATGAGGATGTGTAAACAGGGAGGTAGTATGGTTGGGTGTGTGTGGTTAGGTGGGGTGATGCCTGCAGGATATGAGAGTGGGAGGGTGGGAGAAGCTGCTTGGGCAGCAGCAGGGCGATATTGAGCGTTCATGATGAAGCCTTTTATTTCTCTTTGCCCCCTAGATCTCCTACCCCCAAAGTGATGAGGACAGCGATGACTCTGAGGGAGAGAACCAGGAACTTGCTCAGATTGATAGAGGTAAAGGGATGTGCTTATGTTCTTGGAAGTGCCTCCTTCTCTGTCCCCAGTGCACCAAAACCAAATACATTGAATCAGTGACCCTGTAGTCTTTGGGACCTCACACGTAGAAGCTGGTGTTATCAGAAACTGCAGCCACACTTTTCTTACCAGAGGTAGATGTGTTAAAGCATCAGTGCTGTAGAGATGGGGCAGCAAAGATTTACAACTGAGCCAGCGGCAGAGACTAAAATTGATCTTCTACTCCATTCTTGTGCACCTGCACCATCCTTGTTCCAGGTTTCCTTTCCCTTGAGTTCTGACCTTTACTTCCCTCATTCCCTTGGGCTCATTTTCTACTTAGCTTGTGCCATTCCTCCTGTACTGCTGGTATTAGGCAGCCCTATTGACAGAGGATAGACAGGTGCTCTGCTGCTGTTTTTGAATCTGGTATAAAGCAGCTTAGAGCATCTGTTGAGCTATGCTAAGTCTCTGCTGCTTGTGTATGCTCTGCGTTTTACTGTTTAGCCAAATTCAAGTGGGTTCTTATACAAAGGCAGAAGTTAAATTCCTGACCTACAGAACATGTCCTATCAAAATTAAAATCCCTGCCCCATATGCTTAACATAGAAAGAGCTCAGCAGAACAGGTAAAGTGTGCCCAGCTTATGGCTGAAGGCAGGCTTTCTTGTATGACAAGCCTTGTAATAGAAAGAGGACTTTCACCTCCAGAAACCAGATCTCTATTATTTGAGCCACAGATGTGCTGCTAAGGATAATGTAACTTACTTGCCTCCTCTGCCCTGAGAACTGACCATTAGAACTTAATGGTTTTAGTTGGAGGGAAGTTCCTCATCCAGGAGATGAGGTGGGCAGCAGACCCACATTCTTGCTCTGCAACTAGACTTCCAAGTGACAGTTTGTGAGGGGATGTCTAGCAGCCTGGTCTAAGCAGAAGTCTGGAAACTTCCAAAGGGAAGCATTCAGCCAGAGTGGGTGTCTTCTGGGGAAGAAAAGGTGGGAAAACAGCTCAGCTTACTTGGGAGGAGGTAAAAAAGCCAGGTCAGGAAAAGGCAGGCCCAGGGCATGGGACACAGATCTGCTCTGCCACTCCTCTCTCTCCTCTTCCCACCAGAGAGAAGACGGAATTGTACCTTGACCCCTCTGGCCCCCAACCAGCTCCAGAACCAGGAGAACCAATGCTGCAAGGTCCATGCCCTCCTCCACGCCAGCCTTGACCGCCACAGCTCGGAAGAGGAGCTTGAGCGCATCCACCGGGAGTTTGCGGCTGAGAAGCGGAAGTGGTCGCAGGTGAGCAGGCTTGCCTGCTGCAGTGACAGCAACAACACCTCCTCCAGCGACGACGAGGTGAAGAACCTGTGTGCCATGTCCTTCCGGCCTGTGGCAGAGCCCGCCGATGCCCTGCACGCCAGCCCCAGCCCCGTGCTCTTCAGTGCCTCCCCTCCCAAGAGACTCCAGCCCTTGGTGCGGAGCACAGCCTCCAGACCTTTAATCTTCACAAGTGTTGGGGCGGGCCTGGAGCAAGTCATGCCTTGTAAGAGACATCGACAAGGGTATGGGGATAAGGTCAGCAGGCCCAGCCTTGACCTGGAAAAAATGCAACAGGTAAGAACTTTGCAAGAGAAAGGAAGCATCACTTGAGAGAAGGTGGTGTAAGGAAAGGCATAAAAGAGTTACTGGAGCAGGGTTCAATAAACTCATAGGGATGCCTCTTGTGAATACATCTCCTTGTGAATACCCCCTTTAAGCCTACTTCTCCTGTCTGTCTAGGATAAGCTAGGCCTAAGTGTAGATACTCAAGTAGCTGCTGCTGCTTGAGTTGCCCTTACTACAGCTGGGCTGTTCTCTTGCTACCCCCTATACTGCCCAGTTGATCACGGGAGTTGACTTGTGTCAAATTACCCTGCTGCCATGATCTGACCCATGCCAGTTATTCCAAAAGAAATGAATTGCTTAGGGGTGTATAAGGAGACACCTTTTTGATTAAAGTGATTGTAGACTGATGATGATAGGTATTTTCACACTTGATCTCCTTGGAGCTGGGGTTCTCTATACCTCCTAGGAGTTTCACAGCAATGTAATCCAGCACTTTTCACCTTTCCAACACTTTACAAAGGATTACATTTTGCTCTAGATGCAGTCACTCTTGGTTTTGCAGGACCTGTGTAGGAGCCTGGGGTTAAGGTGTGTAAATGCCAGGAGGTTGCCTTATTTCTGTGGCAGCTGGGAAGTGGAGTGTGCCTGGTACTGGTGTGCTGGGCTGCCCTGCGTAGTGCCCATCTGGCACCTCTTTTCCACAAGGCATTACTGCAGAGTTGGTGTTCCAGCTCCCTCTTATTTGTTTTTCTTGCACTGGTGTAGAACAACTGTTTGAAAGGGTACCTGCAGGCATCTGCTGACCCTGGTAAACTGCAGTAAGTTAGATAATCTTAATTCTGAATTTCTTCTCGCTAGGCAAGAATTTTTCAGCCTCTGGTTGGTTGGATATACTAGTTTTAACCTCACTAACAGCACCCCCTTTAAGCCTACAAGATGAACCCACTGAAAGGACGGACTATATATTCATTTTCCAAGATGTGTGCAAGTAAGACCCCTCCATTTCCCCATTACATTGCTGCTTGTTCTCAGTCCTGCTGGCAGCATACATCTCATGAATACATAATTCAGGGACTTGTGGTTTCAGTACAGTTTTCATCACTCCCTCTTTGCTCTTCTAGCCAAGTTTCTGCTCACAGAACATTCAAAAGGCCCAGTCTTGCATTTCACATCACCCAAATCTTCTACTGATACTGACAGACTTTAATTAGTCTCACATCCTAATGAGATGAGAGGAAAGCTGGTGAGCTGGTGCCCAGCTGCCTGTTCTTTTGGAGTGCATGTGAGTACATGCAGAAATGTTCCTTTAGAGCAGGTGCTTGCTCTCATTCGGATCCCAGGCATAGCATCTACTTACTCTGCCTTCAATTCTTCTCAGCAGTGTGTTTGGAGTGTGTTGGTGAAGGTTAGGGTATAATGAAGTAAGCTTTATGAACTGTTGTTGTTTCTGTGGGCAACCTTGTGAGACCAATTTGCTCCCTGGTCTATCTGCTCTCCACACTTCTCGATCAGTTGAAGCAAAGAGTTTTACAAAAGATGCTGGAAGCTGGTTTGGAGTTGTGTGGTTTTTAAAGTACTTTTACACTTGTAGGTTGTGGAATCCCTGTGGTAAAGAGAGGCTATTCACCTGGTGGCTTTAATTTAAGAGTGTACTTTGGTGAGAGATAGGGGTGACAGAACACATGCAAAGCAAGATGTAGCCTGAATATTGGAACAGTATGAGGTCATTTGCATCATTTTTATAGTTCCAATTGGTTACTTGTCAACCAGTAAATCTTGAATCTTTGTGATGACTTCTTACTTGCTACCTGTACTTGTTTCTGCTACAAGAATGACAGTAGAATTGTGTTGTAGATTCCATCTTCTGACATTTGGATTCCCATCAGCTTAGCTAAACTCAGCAATCTTATTTCTTATAAGAACGATCTGAAATCTGGGGTTTGAGCTCTGCCACAAATCCTTGGGCAAGTCTCATTCCATACCTCTATTCCTCACCTGTGAAATGGGACCAAGGTGTTTCTTGATCTGTTTTCATTCTCCAACAGAACTGGTATTAACTACGTGGGCAGCGCTTGGCATCGTGTGTTTTTCAGTGAGGTAAACAATGTAAGTGAGGAATGACAGTATTAAACTGGCTACTGTAAGGCTTCATCTGGGCTCTTACTTTCCATTCCTGCAGCTTTGTGGAGCTGACAGATGACAAAGAGGATCAGGCAAGATTAATTTGTACCAGAAGCAAATGTGTTCTAAGACTGAACGGCACTTTTGGGTGCATGATGGGGTATGGGCTACTCAAGGGTTGAAGAAGAGATGGTGACTGCTTTGCCTTTGCATCAAATCCTGTTTATGTTGGATGGTGATGAAAAATTAGCCCAGAGAGCAGCTCTGTGGGATGTCTTGGGGATGTTCATTGATGAAAAGCTCAACAGGATCTGGCGGTATGTGCTTGCAGCCCAGGAAGCCAACTGTATGCTGGGCTGCATCAACAGGAGTGTGGCTAGCAGTTTGAGGGAGGTGATTCTCCCCCTCTACTCTGCTCTTGTGAGACCCACCTGCAGTACTGCATTCAGCTGTAGGAGCAATACCAAAAGAGGACTTGGACCTGTTGGATTGTGTTCAAAGAAGGGCCACAAAGATGCTCACAGGACTGGAGTACCTCTCCTATGAAGACCAGCTGAGAGAGCTGGGCTCGTTCAGCCTGGAGAAGAGAAGGCTCTGGGGAGACCACATAGGAAAAGGGGGAATGGTTTTAAACTGCAGAGGGTAGATTTAGATTAGATATTTGGGGGAAAAATCTGCAGTATGAGGGTGTTGAGACACTGGTGCAGGTTGTCCAGAGAAGCTATGGCTGCCCCATCCCTGGCAGTGTTCAAGGCCAGGTTGGATGGGGCTTGGAGCAACCTGCTCTAGTAGGAAGTGTCCATGGCAGGGGGTTGGAACTGGATGGGCTTTAGGTCCCTTCCAACCCAAATCATTCTCCGATTCTAGGAAGTGTGGGAGAGACCAAGTGGGCTGGGGGCAATCTGAGCACATTTAAGGTGTTAGGGAATTGCTGTGCTTCTGCCTTCATGGCCTGTGGGGAAATGGAAATCTCTATCATCTGGGCATCAGCAAGGAAGGCTGCACAGGAGCAGGCTTAAAAAGTCCTTTTCTGGTGAGGTGCCAGGCCATGCAGACACCCGTGGCACAGCAGTGAATGCCCTTGATTCTGGTCCTTGGACAGCAATGTCATTACATGCAGGCCCTGCTGCCATCCACTTGCTGTTGAATGAAGATGATGCATGTCCTAGAAAGCTTGTGGTTGCTTCCACCCTGTTACCTTTGACAGACCTGGCTTTTACAGCAATGCTGAGAGCATGAGGTCAAGGAGAGCAGGAATATTCTTGAGGTGAAGGAATGGAGGGATACAAGGAAGTCCAGGGCGTCACAAAGACTCCATGATGTTGCTGAACTTATTCCCAGCAGATGAGACTAACCAGTCTTGGCACATTGTGTAAATGGAGAGGAAGTAAAGGGTCCTTCCTCCAGTGCTGTTTAGTGGGACTGCCTGGAGCTCCTTTGAAATCTTTCAGCAGCTTGAGAAGCCAGAGTGTAGCACTTCAGGGAAAGAGAAAGTAAGATATCTCTCTTGGAGGAGAGCAGCTTTGGGTTGGCATGCTGAGCAATCCAAATTGTCTTCATTTATGTGCGGGTAGGTGGCTAGTAAGGAAAGCGTTGTTTTAAAGTACAAGGCAGAGAGTTTGGCTACAAGGGTGTATTTCCAGTTACACTACAAAGTCACTAGGTAGTTCTGAGCAAGTTGTGAAACCTTCCTGCTATGGTTTGCCTGCATGTATGATTAGATAATATCAATACTCTTGTCTTATGGAGGCTTAACGCATTATTTAAAGTGCTTTGAGGTGCTAGGATGAAAAAGGCCATCACAGAAGTGAAAAACGCATCTTGTGCTAACATTTGGATTTCTCACTGCAGACACTGCACTCCTTTGGTGGGTGGATAGTTGCAGTGCACAACAGGTAAGTGGAACTTCATCTTGGCTTGACACTGAAAGTGGCCTGAATACAGTGTGAACTCTGACCTGAGCTTAGCTGTGTAATGCCAAGCCCAGCAGTGCTTCTGCTCAATGTTTGAATGTTGGTTCTTTGGTTGGACTGGACCTGGTAGGGTGATTGTCACTTGGAAGCTTTCTTGGGGCCAATATTGGTTGCACAGAGGCTGCAGGGCAGCACTCAACACCCGTGACCAAGGACCAGTGTATGACCCTTGGCTCACTGGGGTCTGGCCTTCGGGCTGCTAATGGCTCCAGGGTGAGGTTTCCATATCCTTACCACAGCTGGGCTTTGCCCTTGTCTGTCTCTCCAGGACTTGACAAATAGCTTCCAGATAGAGAACGTGTGAGCACGGAAGTCCTTTTCACCTCTTGGCCTCCCCTTTGAATCCAGGCCTTGTCAGCTCCCGAAAATTGTTATCATCTGTTTGCCTGTCTGAGCCTGCCTCCATGCCAACGGGGAGCTGGAAACCCCACTGCTGGTGCTGTCTCTGCCCTGGGCCTCCCTCTCCAGAGGGACTGAGTGGGCTTGAGGGGCTTGTGCTTAGTGTTAATGGCTTACACCACTTCCCAAGCAGCCCCATGCCAGAACTTGTCTCTCCCAGGTGTGAGAAACTGGGCCATAGCAGCTCTTTGTCCCGGGGTGCAGCAGGGTGCTTGCTGAAGCAATGCAATAAGGAAACTGTTGCAGAAGCTGATTGCACCATTACAGAATGAGAAATCCTGCTTCTGGTAACCTCCTGCAATTTTGCTTGTATTTGTCACCCCCAGAAATATTCTACACCAGCTGTTCCTCCAGCACAGCAGCTCCTGTCCATCTCACCCCTACCAGCATTTGGCACCAAAGCAGACAGCAAAACAAAGGCTGTGCCTGGCTGCTGCAAGGCAATCCGAGCATGAGAAAGTTTGGAGCTGAAAATGACTGGTGGTCCAGGCTACTTGCCTGCAGGGATGTAGCTCT